ACATAAAGGCAAAATTTAAGGATACAAAAGTACAACTGTATAAGTTTGCTGACTGTGTTAAATCACTATGCAGAATTGATAGCAACATTATCGTCACCATAAGTTTGCTATGATTTTATTTATTTATTTATTTATTTTAGTTTGCTATGATTTTAGTCACTTGAGAAAACACTCTCAAAAATCAAGGCCTATTTGGTTGGTCCCTGCTTGGAATTTGAAAGGAGGAAAACAACATAGTTTATTAATGACTTCCTCACTAGCCTAAAAGTACAGATTAATTGATGCTCAGTTTTGTTAATGCATGAATGAATGAGTGTCTTTAGTATTTTCCCGAGGCCCAGGAGTAGCCTGGCATGGAGGAAAAGCAAGTGGCATCAGAGGCCTGGGTTAAGTGGGGCAGTTCCTGAGAAACTGGGAAGGGACGATGGAACAATATTACTTCCTTGTAAACATCTCTCAGACAAAGTTAGCTTGGAGAAAGAAAAGACTCAGGGTTACCACATGGACTATAGATATTTACTTGGGCTTTTACACACTACCAGACTCTTCAGGACCTTATGAGAAAGAGCACTAGAATTGGAGATTGACTTATTTTGAATCGGGTTATCTAAGACAGCATTGCTCCAATGCCGTGGGTTTGCCTTCCTTCTGCTTTTGGTGCTGCTCCAAGGTCGTTTGGGCCGTGTTCCCATGGCAGACAGGAGGCCTTGCCATAACCAGAGCAAGAGGAACTCTCAATGAAGAGGACAGCCTTCTTTTGCCCGTTCTCATGGGCTTGTCCTTGCGACAGAGTGAAACAAATTTGACCAAGTGGAGCAGAGCACCAGGCATTTCCATGTGCCTTGTACACTGGCTCCTGTGCTGCAATAGCCCTGCAGCTCTCTGGCATCCAGCACTGGTGATGGAGACCATCTCTTGGAGTCTGGCAGCGTCATGGGATCCTAACATTAGGCCAGGAGTCTGCCCTAATGCACCCCTGCTGATAGGCCCTGTCTTCTGCAGCAGACATTCTCCAAAGCAGTACTGACTCCATTCCACTTGCTGACAGTTCTGGGGAGTCCCAGCTGTGCCCGTGACTGATTTCACACAGCACTGCTGTCCAGCCACATCCGTTTTGGCCAGGAGCTAATGTGCTAGTTCACCGCCGCTGTGTTAAATCCTCAGTGTCATAGAAGATGCTCTAGGTCTGAATGTAGAAAATAAGTTGAATGTTTGAATTAAAGTCATTTTGCAAAACGGATGTTTTGGAAGAACATAAAAACTAAATCTATTGTCAACTATGGATTTTTCCCCAGGCCATTCCTCTGAGTTGTTAGTATCTAGCAAACAAACCAGGTAAAGTTAGTGAGATGGCATTGATCTACATGTAAAGCCTCCTTTCTCCCTTTTACAGAAGTCATGACACAGCTTTTAAAAAAAATAATAAACCTGCCAGGTCTTTGTTAACATGTATGAGTGTCTTACTCTGTTTGCATGTCTGAGTGAGTGTATGACACTTTGACATGTAATGACTCTGAACAGCCCTTGTCTCCACTGTTGAACAGGTTTTTTTACACTATTTTTTGAACTCTTTACATAGTGTAGGGTTAATCTTATGTGTATAAAATTAATTGAAAAATAGATCTTAGTAAAAAATAAGGATGGGAATAGGAGAGGGAGGAAGAAGAAGGCTAGGAATGCAAGTGGAAGGGAGGGTGGAGTGGGAAGAATCACTACATTCTTAAATTTTTAGGAAGCTTGTATACCTGAAATATAAGGTTTCTGGGTAAAAAAAATAAACATACTTCTGAATTTCTATTTTAAAAAAAGGTTCATGGAAAATGGAATTAAAAAGTAAGTTTATGTTTATGGAAACAAGTTTTTAAGTCCATGCCTACTTTTTTTCTATAATATGCATAAACTTTTTGAGGTTTTCTCATAAGCCATATCTGTGATCTATGAGGGATATTTATTTTTAATGTAAATTTCTATTTTAGAGTTTGAGGAGATTAACACAAAAAGCAGCTAGAACATTAGAGAAACTGAGTGGAGGGGCTAAGAGTTAAGTTTAAATCCTGCCTCCCCCACAAATTGTCAATGAAAGCTTGTACAAATGACCCACTACCATCAAGTATCAACTGGATTATGTTAAAAATAGGCACTACTTATAAATAGTCATGCTATTGTGAATACTAAATGAGACACTTCGTAGGAAAGCAATTTTCAATTCTTTTTGTAAATATTAAACCTTGACTTATATTTTAAAAACATATTTTGATGGTAGCATTTTTAGATAAAACATCAGACTACCAGAAGGCCTCTCTGTTCAGTCCTCAGAACAGAGAGATATGTATAGAGGGAAGTTTAAGGCATTTGAAATTGAAATGCTAGGGAAAATGATCGCTCACACAGTTTTTGTGTGATTGAACAAACTAAATTTATGTTTTTCTAACATTCTAAGTTTCTCTAAAGGTTGAATGAAGGACAGGTGGGCTCTTATTCCACCCCCGGCTTTTGAGGACAGAGAAGAGGGAATTAAAAGTTTTTCGTTTTAAGCATACTATTAATGTTACAAGACTGGCAACGTTCACACTGCCAGTGTATCCCAAGCAGATGACTGTAGCCTTCTCGTCGGGCACCATTTCACCCGTCCTGATGGAGAGATGCAGAAAGGGTCACACGTGTGGTGTTTTGTAACAGCCTATTTGCTCACCAACTCAGTTGCTTCATTTCAGTTTCATCTCTAAATAGAATGCAAAATGACATTTGATGCCAGAAACATAGCTACACTAAATACTTGTGTGGATTCAGTAGCATGTATCTCATGAAATGAGGGCAGAGTGAATTTGCTCTAAAGAGAACCTCCCGCCGAGAGACAGTGGCTCTGACCTGCCTAGCCTGGCTCACATCAGCATTGATCCTATTCCCCCACACCCACGTTTATTAAAGATGGATGAAATAACTCCACGCGCTTCCACTCAAAACTACAATTGCAGCGACACTACACAATACTGTCTAGAATTCCTTATTCCTTTTCTTCTATTAATAATACATTAAACCTCAGTTTTTTTAAAAAAAAGAAAACTCAGAGAAAAAGGAAAAAAAAAAGATAACGATTTCTTGACAGAACTTGAATGGAAGGCTTTAATACAGCTTTAACTGAACTTGACACACCATTTTTTAATATGAAAGTCCCTTCTATTTCTGAAGCTCTTCATACTTAATCGAGAAGTCTCACTTAGGGATGAATCAAAGGCGTTAATAAGCCTCCTCCCCCAAATCATTAATTCAAAATATCTGATGTTGATTATGCATTTTGGGGTGGTAAGTTTTCTCCCTGTTGATGTCTGCATCGAATTGGACTGAGTAACAGTGTTTTGTGAATAAAATCCACACTGTTCAAATTGGAATGTTTTATTAATTGCAATTCTTAAAAGATATTGAACATTGGAGGGGTAGATCAGGAAATAAATAATACATACTTTTGAAACGGCCCTAAGATGAGTAGCTACAGTTCTTTTTATAAATATTACAAGCCTCACACAATCCCTTTGGTAAAGACACAATGTTCAGCCAGCGTAATGATGAACAACAAAATAGCATTTTAATTTGAACTAGATTATTCCTGGATATGCTTTGCTCATTCTGTTAATACACACTCCCTTGGTACGTGTGAGATAGGTGATTAGTAGACACCAAATAATAGATGACTATCCTGAGATGCAACAGCCAACTCCCATTTGGTCAGTAACAGTGATAAAATGATAGGAACTGGAAGGGACCATTTATACAGAAAGGGGAGGGGAGGGACCACTTTAGTGTTATGACTAGTACTAGCCCAGCATCTAACAGTCAAGATTAGTTTGGGCATACTGTATTTGTTTATAGATTTTTAATCATTCACCTGTAAAAATAAGCACTGTATGTATCTGAAATTTTGGAAATGATTCCAATTTTGTTTATTCTTTCACGGGTTTTATTATGGCATACATAATTATTATAAATTAAATACTCTAATTGCAATATTACCCAGGACACAGTAACATAGAGCATTTTATTTTCTGTAACTGCCATTAATAATCTATTATAAAACTATGAAAATTATATGAAAAACTAATTCTCAAGTGGACATGCACGCACCCATTGGATCATTTCGGAGCACAATTACTGAGATTAGGGTTTGGTCCTTGGTTTAGTGTTCCCTGGAACTCCACTCTTTGTAATTCATGTATCTCTGACTGTTGTTTTCACAGAGATCACCTACTATTTCTGTAGCTAATTATTTGTTGATATATTTCAAGTTTGTCTTTTCAAGGCTGCAGACACCAGGTCTTATTTACATCTGCATGACTGATATCTGAGTCTGGGACAATGTTTTTCATACAGTGCCCTTATAGGATATTAGATTCACACATATGCACAACATACATGGACACACACACCAAGAAAAAAAAAGCGATTGATTTATTGGTGTTTGAATGACAAATCAATTTAACAGCAAGCATGGTCTCTTTTTTTCTTACTCTCTGCAAAGTCTAAAAAAGCATTTCTGCTTATATTATGCTTAAGTAAAAATGATGCATCACATATTTTTCCAATTCCTGGCCTTGTTCAAATTTTAATGAAAGTAAATTGCCTTATACATTTCTGTTATAGAGCATTGTAAGAAGACAGATTTTGTTTTCCTAAACATTTTTCAGTACTCTCTATAATCAAGTTACTGGAGATGCAAACATACATAAGATAAGGCAGTGGAATCAAACAGCATTTTTGAGAAAAAAGAGGAACAGAGAGAGAAAAAAATAGACATAAAATAGAGAGGAGTTTCACTTAAACTCATAATAAGCTTGCTGTTGTCTGAAATTTAAATTGTCCCACAAGATACTACACTCACAAGGTTCAAGATTTGTGTTTTTATTCCTGTTATACTCCAATTTCCAACAAGTACTATAGAGAAAATCATATTATTTATCAAAAATTGTATTTCTAAAAATATTTTCTTCTGATATCCCTTGTTGTAGTTCTGATTCCAATATTCCAGTGACTATGGGAGGACCTACAGATGATATACACATCTCTCTTCTCATCACACACCTGGTCCTGGAGTGGGAACATGCATGGAGGTCAGGAGGCAAACGTTCTCTTATAAATTGCTCAGTTCATTAATAATGAACAAGGTGTTTGGCCACAGAATAAATCAATCCAGCAATTTAATCATGCTATAAATGTTTTATAACTTCAAATATTTTATTTTTAAATAAGTTGAGAATTGGACAAAACTAAAAATAAACCAATATATATATTGAAGGAGTGTTTAAAAGATGAACCTTCTTTGTTGTGAATATAAGAGTCAAAAACAGCAATAGGTTTGAAATAACTGAAAAAATCCAGTGGACTTTATTGAATTTGCTACTAAATTTGCACAGCTGTCTTGTTATTTTATTGGAGTATCCTGTGTGATTTGGTTAAGTTCTTCCCCATCTGATGTGTGTGTGTGTGTGTGTGTGTGTGTGTGTTTGATTTGCAATGAGTGAACTAGACCAGAACAACTGCATGTAGAGCTGTGTCAGGGCTTTGGAAAGTCCTCTGTTTTACAAGTAGTAGAACTCAATGAAGATACCTGACAAGTAAATAAATCCAAAAATGATTTGCTCTTATATAAAGTGAGTTCTTTTGAGGAGTTAAACAAATCATCGCTAAATATTTTGTTAGGCCCTCTGGGAATATGCTTAAAAAATAGATTCTGGTTTTATTTTTTTTTAATTTTTCTTTGTGTGTACATTGTGCCAGGAACATAGTGATCTGGGTAGGGACCCTCCTCCCCTGCACTGTGGCACATTACTTTCTGAAGTCTTAGACACCACAAGCATAGTCTCCCACCTGACAAAGCCCTTTTGTGCCTTTAGAAAAAAAAAAAAAAGGTGGAAAACCCATGGGAAAGAGATCAAAGACAGGAACCATGGGCTTGTTCAGACTAATGGATATGTAACCTCCAGACAACTTCAAATAAACCAGTTTCTGGTAATAAAAGCAGTGCAGCTAAAACCTGACCTTGGGTAACTCATGAAACCTCCCTGCCCCTCAATCCAGTCAGCTATTAAATGATGATAAGAATGGACCTGTCTTTGAGGACAGATGTGAAGATGAAAGGAATAAGCATATGATAATGGCCTAGAACATTCTCTGAGAAGTTGCAGTATCCAACAGGTGTGCTGTTAATACAGCTAATTGAGGCCATGTTGTGGAGTTTGTTGGAGATCCACTGTGGTATTAAAGGAATAGTAACTGAGAAGTCCCTGAACCGCTGGAGACCAGAAGCTTGACAAATACTTCCCCAATCATTGCTCAGTAAGCAGCATCACTCTCGTTTATAAGGTCTTGATGCACCCATCTTCTTCTTTCAGCCTTTCCTGGTCTTTCCAATCAATAGTATTCTTCTCTCCACTGCTCCACAGAGCAGGAAACTTGCACAACACTGTTCAAAACACCATCTCTTAGTTGTTCCTCATGCTTCTGTGCTGCTATCTCACCTGATTGTGAATACCTGCCAGTCTTTGTTTTATGCAACTTTTATGGAAAGTTTTATCTATTTATTTGAACACACACATGCGCACGCGCGCACACACACACACACACACACAGAGGAGTTGCTCTAACTAAAGGGGGCACTGGTTGGTGGTCCTAAGGCTCACTCAGAAACCCCCTCTCCACCTTGAGACCCCATCTATACTTTTTCGGGAATCAATGGGATGTTATTGAATTTAAAGAGAATGAGTTGTTGAATGAGTTCAAATCATGATACTGCCACTTACATGCAAAGAATTATGGTCTACTGGTTCTGTATATAAAGATAATTGAAAATGAATCTTGATGTGAATGGAAGGGGAGAGGGAGCAGGAGAGGGGAGGGTTGCGGTGGGAGGGAAGTTATGAGGGGGAAAATGCCATTGTAATACATAAGCTGTACTTTGGAAATTTATATTCATTAAATAAAAGTTAAAAAAATAAAAAAAGAATTATGGTCTAGTCTTTGACATGTAATATGAGCTACAAAATAAAGATGGATATAATGAAAGCATTTCCATCTAGGATTATGAGAATTCACAAATATATAGTACAGATATAGAATGTCCTTCTATAAAACAGACACTATTATTATTTCTGTGTTTCATACCTTAGTTGCCTTGTGCTCTCAGGAGTGGAGTAGCTGCTTCATTCTTTTTTCTTTTTTTTTTTTTTTTCTTGATAGGCAGAGTGGACAGTGAGAGAGAGAGACAGAGAGAAAGGTCTTCCTTTGCCGTTGGTTCACCCTCCAATGGCCGCCGCGGCCGGCGCATCGTACTGATCCCATGGCAGGAGCCAGGTACTTAACCTGGTCTCCTATGCGGGTGCAGGGCCCAAGCACTTGGGCCATCCTCCACTGCACTCCCTGGCCACAGCAGAGAGCTGGCCTGGAAGAGGGGCAACCAGGACAGAAGCCGGTGCCCCAACTGGGACTAGAACCCAGAACTCCGCAAGGCTGAGGATTAGCCTAGTAAGCTGCGGCGCCGGCAGCTGCTTCATTCTATGATGTGATTGCCTCAGACCCTAATGGAGAAGACAGAAACTGATCCATCACCATTTACACATGATATTCGTTGGTCCCAAGTCTCCACCTGCTTTACTACAGAAAGTCCAGGCTTCTATAGGGTGATCTCCGCGCAGAATTCTCAGATATTCTCCAAGGCCAAACAGCTCCTTCTAGTTTCTATTCATTACTCTACATGAAGTCTCAGATCCTAGATTTTTACTAATTCTGGGAGATGCCCAGATAAGTAAGGATTCTGTATTCCTATTCATTGCTACTCCCTGCCACATTTCATGCTGACACTGATTCCAGAAAGTGAGTACAACAATGTGTCTTGGTTGAGCTCAGTTTCAAATCAAAGCAGGGTTCCTTTCACCCCAAAGCGTCAAAGCATTGAATGCCATACTTCTTTCTAGGTACACTAACAGCTTGCTTCTCCTAGGCACCCACAGCTGGCTGGAAACATCTGAATGAGTTTTAGTGTGAGGTGATACATAGTGACAAGTTTTGTTGCTCAGTTTTGCCCAATAATCTGGTTGTGGTCTTCCAGACTTCTCTACTGATGAGTCTCCTTTGTATGTCTCCATTGTTTGTTTGTTTGTTTGTTTTCTAAAATCTAGTTTCCAGTGCTCACAGGTAACTCCAATCCATGTTGTAAGTGAATTAAGCATTACTGTTCAACTTCACTTGCCAGAAGCATATGAACCCAGGTTATGTCAAGTCAACATACCATTTTATATACCAGTCTGAGATCTGAGTTCTCATACTTACTTGAGATGATTTCTTAGTCTCTGCACACATCTGATGAGAATTTACTTTAAAAATGATACCTTTATGCCCACAATGTTTCCATAACTCAATTATTCACATAGATTCATGCAAAAAACTGTTTGATACTTCTTTTTTTTATTTTTGACAAGTAGAGTTAGACAGTGAGAGAGAGAGAGAGAGAGAGAGGTCTTCCTTCCATTGTTTCACCCCCCAAATGGCTGCTCTGGCTGGCGCTGCACTGATCCGAAGCCAGGAGCCAGGTACTTCCTCCTGGTCTCCCATGTGGATGCAGGGCCCAAGCACTTAGGCCATCCTTCACTGCCTTCCCAGGCCACAGCAGAGAGCTGGACTAGAAGAGGAGCAACCGGGGCAGAATCTAGCACCCCAACCGGACTAGAATCCGGGGTGCCAGTGCTGCAAACAGAGGATTAGCCTAGTGAGCTGTGGCACCAGCCTGTTTGATAATTCTTGTAGGTATATCTACGTCGGAAACAAACCACCAGAAGGCACTATATCTTGTCCTGTAAGCTATGTCCAGTTAATACTCAGAAGAATCCTACAATGGAAACATTTTAATTATGAGTACTTTATACTTGAGCAAACCTAGGATTGGGAAAAGTTAGGTTGTCTGTCATAGTCATAATGTAATGGCAAACCCAGGGCTTGATTCTTGGTTTCTTTTTTCTAGAAGAGCATTATTTACCTTTTAACAGTGATTTCCATTTCTTGTGGTTGCATTGTTAGTGTTTGCGAAATCTTTTCAGGATAGGTGCTTTCACATTCATAGAAAATACAGTAACATGTGCATGCACTGGAAATACAAGATATATTATAGCAAATTCTCACCAATGCTCACCAATTTAAGAGAAGCTCTGAAAATTCAGTGTACATTAAGATTTCTTGCAGGGTTTCTTAAGATACAGAATCCTGGGTCCAGCCAGGATTTCTAGTTTAGGTGGTCTAGGGTAAAGTTTGCGAACTTATACATCTAACAGTTTTCTAAAAGAATCCACACAGCTGGTCTCAGGACTATGCTTTGTGATCCCCTCCTGAATGTTAAGAGGAAAAGTAGCCACTGTTAGGATATGGACTGTGTCATTGTTCATTATTTTTGGTTACTAAAGAAAACCTTAAAAATCATGGTTTTCTTGCTCACTCTCAAAGAATACATGTGCGGGCCGTATAACAGATTCTCTGTTAGGACTAATTAATGGAGGAACCACCTTCCATGTGACACTGATGTGGGCCTACCTGGAATTACAAGTGCTCCAGTTGAGGCTACCTTCCTGCACTCCTTGTTGTTTCATTGGTAGGTAATTTGGGGTGACCTAGATGGTGCTTATGTAATCTTTTCTATTTGCTTTAGACTCCTAAATGGAAGTTTTCCCTTTTGGACCAGTCCACAAACCTGGGGCACTGTCAGGATTGAAAAGAGAGAAAAATTAGCCAACCAGGGGCTGTAACTGCAGGATTCTTCCCCAGCAACCTAAAGCATTTTGCCATTTCTCTGGTTTGCAGAGGTAAAAGGTTGGACAGAAAGCTATCCTGTGCCCAGTAGTCCATCCTATTTCCTTTGGGCTCTTCTCTTCTGACTGCAATTTACACTTCACCCAGGTGTGAAACCTTTCCTGTGGAGAGGAAGATGCGAGCCCCTGTGTCAGCAGCACAGTGAAGTCACTGTCCTCCTTGTTACTAAGGAAGTGAGTCCGTGGCTTAGCCCCTGATTTTGTTCAGACACTTGAACTATTCATACTCTATTAGACACATATGAAGGAAGGAAATTGGA